AAAAAAAAAAAGAATGTTGTGTTTCATGGCATCTCACGGCATGGGAAATTCTCACCGTCAGATGTTATAAGTGCAGCTGTTCCTGTAAGCCTTCCTCTCTGTGTATTGTGGTCCCTAGATTAAGCCAGGAACCCACTTCTGTGTTCCTTTCCTCCCTCAACATATTGAGGTACACACTCCATTCTGATGGGACTGAAGTCAGCAAACATCCAACTAAAGAGGAGATACCAGCCTCCTTTATTAGAAACATCCTCATCACTAGCACGATTCTCTTAGGGCCGTCTCATTTGACTTGGAAGCACCCAGCAATAATTGTTTTTTTTAACGTTGTTTCTAATATCATTTCTTCCTTGCAAATCAACTCTATTGGGGCATAATCTATCTGTAGTGAAATGCATCATTTAATATGTACAGTTCAACAATTCAAAAAAAGACACTAACTTTACTATCACAGGAAATAGTTCTGCCACGCCCTTTTGCAGCTGTGTATTAACTATTTCTCCAATGCTAATATCCTGGTCTAGATAATTGTCCTATGGATATGTAAAATGCTAACATTAGGAGAAGCTGAGTAAAGCTTATGCGAGAATTGTACGTACTATTTTTACAACTTTTTATGTCTAAAATTATTACAAAATAAAGTTTAAAAAAGAAAGAAATTAATCTAAAAAGAAAAAATTAGGATGTCAATTTTTGAGGATAATTTTTATAAGCTAAATTAATTTTAGCCAAAACACTAAAATGTTTTGATCTAATTTACTGATTCAATTTTTAAAAATAGATTATGTCTTTTATTTGTTTTTGATCACTCACATGTAATGTAATGTAATGTATAAGTTAACATTTATTGTTTTGGATACAAAAAGACTGAAGGAGCCTCAGTGTGTTGTAGTGAGGGGAAAAGGACATCTCAAATTAATGTCCAATCTGATTTCTTTAAAAATATTGTACTGAGTATTTTGATAACCAAAGATAAATTAAATATAATCTTTCCAAAATGCATAACTTTTGCGGTGTCAGATATTTCACCACCAACCACGTGCAACATGTATCCTACTCATGTAAATCTAATATGGGTTTCCCTGCTATCTGAAAGTAGAGCGTTCCTTTGAAACCTTTCCTAAGCCGAAATGGAGTAAAGCAAAGAAGCAATTACCATGCTGTGGCAGTGTCCCATATAAAGTGGAGGAAGATGGCACGAGGAAGATTAGCCCAGGGCCAGTCTTCCTCAGCAGAAAAAGAGGAGGATTGGCAGATGTTAGCACAGAGCTGATCTTCCTCACAAAAAAAAAAAAACAAAGCTGTGGCCACTTGATACTTAGAGGCTGAGAGTGGTTCCCAGGAAGGAGCCAGGCGGTGCCACTCTCGCTGCTTGGAATGCCCACTGCCCCTATAACGGCTCCCTGCAAAACAAATGCTCAACAGAGAAGTGAAAATCCTCTTTGGATTTCTTTCAGTTAGTGAAACTAGGTATTAATGTAGGTCTTTCGTAAAAGCAAAATAGTGTAAAGCGAACTTTCAGATAGCAAGGAACCTCTGTATCCACATGTCATAGTGGAAACTATTGTGTGAAAGAATTTTAGTATATATTTCATAATGAATGTGATTTATATTGAATTACATACATCTATTGAGATACCAGAAATCATCAGATTAATCAAATTACATTCACCAAGATCAAAAGTACACTGCTTCAGGGGCCGGCCTGGTGGCTTGGTGGTTAAGTTCAGGTGCTCCAGTTCAGCAACCCGGGGTTCACAGATTTGGATCCCAGGCCGGAGCTACACACTACTTATCAAGCCATGCTGTGGTGGGGTCCCATATACAAAATAGAGGAAGATGGGCACAGATGTTAACTCAGCAACAATTTTCAGGACCAATCTTCCTCAGCAAAAAGAGGAAGATTGGCAATGGATGTTAGCTCATAGCCAATCTTCCTCACCAAAAAAAAAAAAAGTACACTGATTTTTCCCTTTCCCAACCATCAAACATGCCTGTATTCATAAACAGAGATAAATCAAATTTTAAAATCTGTGCCATTTAATAAGGTTAAACACATAAAACATTCTAGTACAAACATTCTGATTTTAAAAAACGTGTATATATATTTTGCATAATTGTTTACAATAAAGAAAATCTTGAAATAGAGCTAAAATTTTATTTACATTATAATTCAATTTACATAGCTAAATCAATTGCATACAGTTCTTTCCATGTAGGAATTAAGGAAATTCGTACAATTTCCTTAATTGTAGGAAATCCAAATGTTAAAAGTTCTAAGACATATATCTAATTGTGTACAAAAATCATCATAGATCAACTTTTAGATTCCAGCGTACTTAAAAATCATTACAAATTGTGAAAAATACATATTATGAAAAATTTGTTCTAAAAGTAGCATAATACCAACCCATATCATGTAGGTGAATCCAGAAGTATAAATGTTTATAAATTACAAGTGTCTATACTGCCCTATCATGAAAGGAGGTATTCTATGTAAATATGTATATTATAAATAAAAGAGTCTGACTTCCTTCAAGTTCCAAAATTATTTTCATTTTAACCATTTTCACTAAAAAGTTTGTAAAAATGTATCATCTTATAAAATTGAGTACACTGAATATAATGAAACCTTTGAAGACTAAAAACCATTATGAATGCCAATTATTTAGTGACTTGCTCATCAAACTATTTCTATGTATGGGGTGATTTTTTCCTCTCTCTAAATTAAGTGGCTTTAGACTAATATGTTTCTACAGAAACATAGAGGAAACTCTGTTTCCTCTGTTGATTTTTTCCTCTCTCTAAATTAAGTGGCTTTAGACTAATACGTTTCTACAGAAACATAGAGGAAACTCTGTTTCCTCTGTTGCTGTTGTTTCACATCTTTTTTTTTTTTAAAGACTTCTCTTATATTTTTTTATTTTTTTATTTATTTATTATTATTATTATTTTTGTGTGTGTGTGAGGGAGATCAGCCCTGAGCTAACATCCGTGCTAATCCTCCTCTTTTTGCTGAGGAAGACTGGCTCTGAGCTAACATCTATTGCCAATCCTCCTCCTTTTTTTTTCCTTCCCCAAAGCTCCAGTAGATAGTTGTACGTCATAGTTGCACATCCTTCTAGTTGCTGGACATGGGATGCGGCCTCAGCATGGCCAGAGAAGCGGTGCGTCGGTGCGCGCCCGGGATCCGAACCGGGGCCGCCAGTAGCAGAGCGCGCGCACTTAACCGCTAAGCCACCGGGCCGCCCTGTTGTTTCACATCTTTATCAATGAGTTCCTGAGGATTTGCCATTATTTTACAGCTAGAAAACTTTTCTATTCAATTCCCTGCTTCCATATACCAGACACAGAAAGCCTAAACTCTCATTTCAGCCATGGCTTCAAGTGGGAGCAGCATTTAAAATGTGTCTGGCTGGGTGGGAGACTGCTTCTCAATCGAGGTATTGCGAGTTTGTTCTCCTGCCTACCTTGCACTGCCTCTTTGATTGCTATGAATTTCCTGCTTCTCAATAGACAAAAACTAAAATACCTGGGTTTTTGACTACCCACCTGGTTTCAACCACTGGTGTTTATAGATTCCTGGTTTAAGTAGATCTGTCTCTCTGATTGCTGACCCACTGCTCCTCTAATGCTCTAATATTCAAGGGGGCTTGCTAACCTAACTCTAATTCATTCCTTCTTGCATTTCCATTTATAAATGTTACTAGTTTCTTGAATCCTCATTGGCCACAGATTACCACCAAACGTAACCTCTTAAACTCTGTGAATTACTGGTCCTTCTGATCCTGGTTTCCTACCAGGTCTTTACTCTCAGTTTGTTATTCTGATCACACTGCTTATAAAGTGCTAACCTAGGGGAAAGCCGATAATGGATCTTATTAAATTAACAACCTTATTTTATGAAAATTTCAAATGGGTATGAACTTCAACACTTTTCCTGATCAGTAAAATTCTTGACCAGGTAGAAGTTATTTTTGTTGATGTTCACTGATCTATTTCCTCCATACTCTGAGTAGACATCGTTGGCCTAAGTCTGACCTGAATAAATGGAGTGTTATAATGTTATCAGATATGTGAAATACTTTATTTTTCAAATAAATGGATCAGTTAAAGAGTAGAGTTTAACGTTTTAATCAAACAATAATACATGCCTACTATGAGCAAAGCACTATTTTAGGTACTGTAAGTAATATACTAGGTGATCAGTTTTTAAAATGAGAAAAATTAAAATACTGAGTATATAAACATTGATCAATAGTTCATTGAGAGATCTTTTCAAAAGAAAACCAATAAAATGCACCTAAGCCATTAAAAAAAGAGAAATATTTTCACGTCTAATTGGCACTTGACTGAAGCTGGGAGACATAGTTGCATAATACTATCACAGAATCACAAAAGGTATTAAAAACCAGCAATATCAACAAATTATCTCCTGGAATTCTTGAGTTCAAGTGAAAATAACGTGTATACAATGCTGATATTTCTGTATTCATTTTATACTGGGACAAAAAGAAGATAAGTAACCTATATTCTAATAGTCCAGTCACTTTCTGTGATAAAGGACAGACTAGTATATGTAAATTTAAAAACAAATAATATTATTTAGCTAGTTTTAAATTCATGGGCTTTCAATAATAGTTCTTGAAAATCATCACATAGATTTAATTAGTTTAAATATTTACACCATAAATTTTCTAAATAAGCCAAACTACTGTCAATGATTATTAAAATAAAACAAGTTGTAAGAGGGATAGAAACATCACTTTGTTTTTAACGTATCAACTGTTAACTAATCATTGGCTTTTTTTTCCTACTTTAGTTTATTAGTTGGAGATTTCACACCTAGACAATGGGAAGTGTGTGTGTTTTGAGGCTTTTGGTAGACTTTGAAGGCACACATCTCTTTCTTACATTAAAACAAAAATAAATAAGAGTCCATACATTTACAGAAAACACATTTATTTAAAAATATCAATTTTTAAAATATGATTGTCCATATTGGGTAGATAATGCTGCAATGGCATTGTACATTCTTACAAATGAAGGCGAATTTTCCAGCTGTAAAATAGTCTCCTCTTTTTCTATTTCACCCTTCACTTCTTGATTTGTTGAGATCACATTCTAATGAAACAGCAGTCACAACTGCTTTCTGATTCTGAAATGACACATTTGTGCCTACTGGTGGTGGTTTATACAAAAAGACTGCAAGCCCATTGAAGGAAATGGTGATAACTTTACAAGTAACACCTAAATATAAAAACAAAAATTAATCATGCATCCGGGCCTTTAATTATTACAAAAATAAACCCTCATTGAGAAATTCTTCATGAATAGAAACTCCCTACTTTAAAGAAAAGGAGGATACAAACATTCTAGTTCTGTTTTAAATTTTTAAAACTTTAGGGAGAAAGGTGATATTCTTCAATAAAACATCTGTATACAAGTCAATAAACTAGCCTTTATTTTCTTTCTAAACAATAAAAATGTACAATGATTATTCTATTCTTGTTTATGACTGTAGATTCTTGTAACAGAAGTGTTGTATAGAATTAAATAAGCCCATGTTCCATTTCTAACTTTATTAACACAATACCATATCTATAAAAAACTGCAAGCAACCAAAAGTCAATGACAAAGGAAAATAGCTTACAACATCCTTGAACCTGAATAGTAAGTTGCAAAATTTTCGTGTCCATGATGGAAAATAATTCTAAAAGTAAAAAAGGCTTTGGAGTTCTTAGGAGAAAGCCTCTATGGGAATATATCACATTCAATACTCAATCAAATTTACTTTTAAGTATCAACTAAAAATATGACACATAAAGATTCACTTCACAAGCTTTGATTTGTTTTTAAAGAGCTCTGATTTTGAGCTCGGCTATTTGAAGAGAAACTAGTTCTGGCCACAGTACAAGCATTTATGTGCCAGTCAAATAAATTAAATGACCTCACAATGTAGTTTTTGCAATAGCTAATATTTTACTCAAAATGTGTATTTGAAAAACAGGAATGCTCATTGTGCTAAGCGTGTCTAGATTCATAGGAAGATTAATTACGTAGGTATTACTGTTAAAATGTTTTTGGAAAGTTTAAAGGTATACATGTTTTGGGGAAAAAAATTCTCGCATTCATCACAGAGTAGGAAAAGGTACCATTCATTATCTGTATCTTTTGATTAAAAAGTACAAACATAACTAATTAAATAAATTTTTAAACATAAAAACACATTGAATAAAAAAATCTTTTTAACAGGTGAAAGTGGTGGGAAGATTAATTTTGCCTATTCTAGTCAATATTTACTCTCCCACTGTTTTTTGGTTTTATGTATTTATTTCTTCAGTGGATATTTTATTACTCTGTCACTATAAATTCAGACACTATACTCTGGGTTTAAGCATATGTAAGAGTAATAAGCTATCTTGATACATGTGCCAAAATAATTGCAATCACAATCACAATGAAAATCACACATTATGTAAATGTGTGTGTGTGTGTGTGTGTGTGTATACACACATATCTTTCTATCTAGGATTTCTCTATTTTTAAATATTCTAATTTCTTGCATTGTTTTTTAAAGTTTAAATTTTATCTTACCCTTACAAACTAGATACATTGCTCTACTTAATCTTAATTTTCATTTATTGCTTAACCAAGACTATACCAGACAGACTACCAAAGGCAAGAGGTTAAACATCATGGCTAACCTTCTAAACTATAAAAAGGTTTCTTACAACGTGCCCTAGAGCCTAAAGATACTTCCCGACCTCAGCTTTATGTGTTTTCCAAAGCCCAGGTACCTAGATGACAATGATTCCAGAGAATTTCTCAGAATTCTCTTTTAGCTTTTTGATAGACTTCCTGAAAGAAGTTTGAGAGAAGTTGTTAAAATATAATTATATGATATGTGATGTAATGAAAGCTAAAATGTTATTCTCTTTTTTAGACTGAGCCCTACAGACTCCAGTTAACGCCTTTCATAACATGCTATGATAATTGAGCTCTGCTTCAGGACTATGGAATAGCCCAATAGCGTGGGCTGAACATTTCAAAACCCAAGTAATTAACAATAAGATTTTTTTTCTCTTGACATCATTGATTTACTCTAAAGTTATCAAGAAGTCACCACTTACATATGGCCACTAGCATATGGGCCATCTTGATGTTATCATACATCCAGCAAGCTCCTTTAATTCCACATTCATTAATATCCCAGAGAATACATGTGCTGTCTATGGTGACACCAAATATAATTGGTCCAGGTATTGTGCCTAGAATAAATATACGTGAAATACACATAAGTAAAGATTACAGTTTATAGTTACAGATTTTTATATACATGGTTATACAAATAAGAAGAGGTATTAATATGTCCATACGCAAATCAATCAGTTCATGTACAATTAATAGGAATATAAAGAAACACAGATAAAACATTCTAAAATAATTATATATAATTATATATTTCTAATCAAGTCAAAAAAATTATTTTAATAAAAATCTCTGGCATATATTGGGTTAACATTAAGTAAATATTTTAATTCACTGCTTTTCTAATTTGACGAATGTGTCTTTGAAATTACCTATTATAATTTTAAAAAATCAAAATAAATTATTGATGCACAAAATAAGTCTGCTGAAGTACAGTATATGTGTTATGTGTATGTGTGTGTGCACATGTATATAAATTAATGTGGGCATATGTATACATATACATACACTCACTGACATGTACGTGCATGCATGAGTGTACGTGTACACACACACAAGCACACACACATTCATACTAAGATGCCTAGGAGTACTACTGTCTTAAACACACACACTCTCCCCTGCATGAGGTCATGAGGCATTAAACTTCCACATAGTTAAGGAGCTTCCAATTGTTACAAATCAAATGCGTGATTTAAAATGGTATTTCTTAGACAAAGATTTCAGCTACATCCAGCCTCTTCGTCCATGACCTGCAGCATGATAGAGTCAAAAGAGCACTGGACTGAGAGTAAGGAGACCGTTTTCCTAGTCTCATTTTCACCACTAACTGGGAAACTGTGGGCAAATCCCTGCATCTCTCAAGGCCTTAATTTACTCATCAGAGAAATGGGAAAGTTGGTCTAGGTGATCTCTAATGTTCCTGCTTTTGGTTTTTGTTTTTATAAATAATCTTAATATTATGTGTATAATATTGTGTGTATAATTATACACACATACAATTATGTGAATAACTTAAGGTTTCTGTCTTTCTTCTTATTCTTCCTACATTTGAAGCTTTATAAAATTATCTGCTAGAAATTCTTTCTTCCATCAATTCTTAACTAGCCACAATATCTACACCACAGTTTTTATTGAAACATTTTAACTCATATTTTTCATTGCTAATGCAACAAAATCATGTCCCAAATGGAGATAAATGCAGTGAGAAAAGGAATTACAGTAGTTATAAATGAGATTTCATCATAATTTATGTTAATAATAGGTTTTATATGAATGAAAAAAATTATGTCTTTTACTATGCTCTATTAGAAATGTGTTGATGATCATACGTGATATTTCAAATAAATATGATATACTCTTTAAGGTTATATTTGCAACAGAATTGGAAACGTCATTTGACCAACCAGGTAGGTAAAAAGTAAAGTCATTATTTTCTTATGTGATGTATAAATATTACTACATCTTGAGTATTGGAAAACAGCTTTCTTCAACAGCTATTATAGAGTTTTCCAGTGCTTTTAATTATTTTATTGGCACATACCATAAATGAGTAAATCAATAATACTAATGAACAGAAATAACCCAGTTACCAATGAATTAAGAAAAATGGCATACCTAATAATCGAAGCAACATAAACTGTATTCCCAATGCTAGAGCCCGTTGCCTTTGATCAACACACCTGCAGATATTAAATACATATGAGACCAAAAATGGTTGTATAGTATATTCACTCTTTGAGCAAATCATTTTTATACCAGCTTAGCATTTCTAGATTAAAGTAAATATTATGCACACAAAAGAAACAAATTATTTGCAACAATTTACATACAGTTCTACCCTTCTGGAACTATAAAAGAAGAAAAATGCGGACCAGCCCGGTGGCGCAAGCGGTTAAGTGAGTGCGCTCCTCTGCGGCGGCCTGGGGTTTGCGGGTTCGGATCCCGGGTGCACACCAATGCACCGCTTGGTAGGCCACACTGCAGCGGCGTCCCATGTAGAGTGGAGGAGGATGGGCATGGATGTTAGCTCAGGGCCACTCTTCCTCAAGAAAAAAAAAGGGGAGGATTGCATCGGACGTTAGCTCAGAGCTAGTCCTCCTCACAAAAAAAAAAAAAAAAAAAAGAAAAAAGAAAAATGTTACCTGAACTAAAATACTGCAAAGAGTCAAATAAATTTTAACGAATGTATTGAATATGTATGAATTTTAACAAACATAAAAGAGAAAGGACATTCATTAACAAGACCTATTTTTGACTATCGCTTAAGTTACAAATCACATGACTTAAGTCACAAGCAAATAATTATTACTCTAAGTCTTACTACCTTTGAGATAGAAATCATACCTAGGGGATAAGTGTACAAATTTGAGGCAATGTAAAACAGTTGCGGAGGCTCAATCTGATTCAACAATAATTCTTTAAATAATGACTGTCAAAGATGAATGAGACATGATGTTGGCACACAAGAGAGTTACATGAGAGATAAAAGAGATCAACTAGTCTTTAAAAACAAATATGTAGTTGAAGGATGACGTAGATAATTTTTCAAAAATAAAATTTTTAGAAGTACTTTCTCTATTCTCTAAATCACTCCAATTTCCACGTAATGTCAACAGACTAGTAATGTTTTTAGACAGACTCTCTAAAACTTCCATTTGTCAAAAAGTATGTGAAAAAGTAGTGAGTGAGTATCAAGGAAGAAAAATTAAAGAGGGAAAAGGCAGAGTTTCTTAGGAAAGATACAGAACGCCTGATTAGCTTAAGGAAAGGTAGATAGAAAATATTTTTATAGCAGTATAGAAGGAGAAAGAGCAACTGAAAGCATAAAACACTGCGAAGAGCCAGGTGACAGCCAGTTTCTTATCTATTAGTGCTGTTTACAGCAAGGTTTAACGTCACAGCACCTACTGTATCAGGTAGAATACACATCATTCTGATTCTGACATATATGGAGCACATTGTATTTCTATCATACTCTAATACAATTGAACATATCTCCATCTTACAACTGAAGCCTCATGAAAGAAGCAGAGAAACTAACATCAAGTACATGCCAGGTAGGCAATATGAAGACACGTTCACATGCATGATCTCATTTAAACCTCATACATCTGGGATCAATGAGGTAGCTTTTCCATTGTCACTGAACTAATGATCTTGTAAGGGCTGAATTGGTATTGGAACCAATGGTCAACATAAACCCCAAATGAACCCCCGAGTCCATTTTCTTTTCACTCAACATGTTGCCTTAGGGATGGCAAATTTCACAATATAATACATACCTTAGGATGGACACAGTTATAGGAGTACCAGCCATAAAGGTAAAAATAACTGTAACAAAGAAAATGCCCAGGAATATGGGCAAATGTTTACATCGAGTTTCACATTTTCCAGCTTTAGCTTCAAAACCAGAACTTGCCGCAGTAGGTGTTATTTCTGTTTTCCTTTCAATACAGGAACAGTTGTAATATACCTAGAAATATTAGACATGAAAATTACCAAAAGTGCTTATCTTGAAAACATATTTTATCATTGTAAATTAGGTGATCTCTAGACATGGCAAACAGTCTTACACAGTCTTAATCCATACACAACAAATAATGCTGAGAAAGAGTAATTAACCCTGAAGAAATTAAGCAAGTGAAAACAAAGGGCCATATTTATGAGGTAGAATCATCTGTATTTGACTTTTGCGTCCATTACTTTAACTTGTAATCTATTATTGACTCATGACATAAAACAAATTGACAAGAATATAATAATTACGTGATCTCGCACATTCTAGACTCCTTTCAATAGACTATAATTGTTCAAATAGTTTTCCTGCTTTCTTCTTTTCTATTATAGGATGTAAAGAAAAACATGCATAGTGACAATCTCACTCTCTACACTAGTTTCAAAGAATAAATACTATAATTTTTAAAAGTGCCAAGTAAAATTAATTAATATGTCACAAGACTTTGGGAAAGAAAATGCTACTTTCAACTAAGCCTTGTTACTATAATTTTCTGAACTTTTTTGACTTGCTTCACCAAAAGCAAACTGTAACCCTCTTAAGATAATATATTTATGACAATCAAAAACTAGAAGTTATTACATTATCTTCAAGGCTATTTTATCTATAAATAACATATTAACTATTTAATATACATACACACATATATATGAATATATACACGCATACATATAAATTAATATGAAATGTTAGAAGGTAACGTTAAAAAATCATGAGTCTTACTTTTGTAGGGAAAGGATTCAGATATTTAAAAAGTTAGGCATAATTATTTTTTAAAGGTTTTTCACATCTCAATTCCATCCTTACTATAAATCCTTTTGCACATTTAAGGCCTCAGTCAAGTCAGAGCAAAGCCAGAGAAGTCACAGCGAAGTGGTGCTTTTATTGCTCTGAAGGCCAGAGAACTTTCTGGGTGCTAAAGCTACTCTAAGGTCACTGGTAGTGATTCAGGAAACCTAAATATGCAGATGATACCCCTGAAATAGACTATATATACTCAGCGATCAGATATATCAAATAAGGGAGTAATGTAGCCTTTAAAAATTTTAAGAAGGAAAACTGAGAACAGTATTTTCTATTTTGATGAAACCTTACAACTCTCTTACATAAAAAAGTATACATTTGCCTACAATATAGCTAGCTGTTTGTCAACATCTGTTTTTGTAGTTTGGGTCACTGGTGTGAAATATAAGACTAATATTTCTGTGAACAAATGTGCATAGGCATTTATTATTATCAATATATTTTGCCTATATGAAATATTCCATAAGAAAAAAAATCCTGTGAAAAAATAAGTTGTTACATGGACTACTTGGGCATTAAAAAGCCAGAACAAATAGAAAATTTGGAAGTGAAAATCACATGCTTTTCCCAAATAATCCCTAGAAGACAATTTACTATTTAAAATGACAATTACAGTATTTGGTGAAAAATATAAACATCAAATGGACTATACCAAAAGAACCAATGCCACTTTAAGTGTGCTCTCTGTTTTAGATTTTTATTTCTAATTATTTATTTATTTATTTATTTTGGTTTCCTTGTGCAGAATGGTATTTGTGGCTAGACATCTTTTTTTTTTTTTTTGGTAAGGAAGATTAGCCTTGAGCTAACATCTGTTGCCAATCCTCCTCTTTTTGCTGAGGAAGATTGGCCCTGAGCTAACATCTGTGCCCATCTTCCTCTATTTTATATGTGGGACGCCTGCCACAGCATGGCCTCAGAAGTGGTGTGTAGGTCTGCACCCGGGATCCAAACCTGCGAACCCCAGGCTGCCGAAGCGGAGCACGTGAACTTAACCACTACACCACCAGGCTGGCCCCTGTGTCTATATATTTTGATATGTGAGTAAAACTCTTCCAGTAACTTAACTCTTAATCTTCTAATTAGAGTTAGTCAATAGCACCTATAGGTCATATTTTATCTACAGGAAAATGCTACCTACTTCTCTGCCTCTCAAAGGAATAGTTACCTTCCAGCTAGTTCTGATTCTATGACATGCATCGTACTCACTGATGGAATTTGTTTGCTTGTAACTGACACAAACACCTAATTTTCTCAACGTCTTTTAAAACTAAAGCAATCCCAGATGCCAATTGGTTTGAAGGCATGATAACCCTCAGTTTGGGGATCTTAAAAATCTTCCTGATGTTTTCTTAAACTTTCATAGGCATTTCATAGTAGTGATCTAATTAGTTTTATTCCAAGAATTAAAACTGCACATATGTCATTCAAGTCCTTTAGGTCTACTATGATTCACCACAGACATTTTTATCTGACATATTTTTCAATATTCTTAGATGATCATTTTAAAATTCATAAGCTAGGTAATATGAAAAAATGTACATTGTTTCCCACATTCTGAGTTACCCCCAGCAGGAAGATCAAATCCTAGTCCCTTGAAATAAACGTTTAATGTATTTATTATACACAAAATCATTAGATATGTATATATGCAAAACATATATTTTTGTGTGTATATATGAACATACAAATGTGTATAACCACACACACACATCCATATTAGTTTTAGAAGAAATTTGAAGTAATTTTATAAATTATTTCGATTAATTATTTCTATTTATTTATGTAGAAATCTTTTCTTGCAATCTTAAACTTATCTTTATACGGAAAAGGAATGCCATTTCACTAGTCTATATTTCAAATATTCAAAATTGTGCTGTTTTGTCATATAATTCTGACATATCTTATTCATTGTGGTCTCATATCATAGTACATATTTCCCTCAGGTCTTTTTAAAGTTATCACCTTATATACTAATTATAACACATTATGTACTACTAGTAATGTGAATATTATTTGTTCCCAAAGCTCTTAAATTTAGCGAAAGTGAAATCTTTAGATTGCAGATGTAGTACAATAAAAATCTATTGGATTCTCTTAAACTATTTAACTGTATTAAAAAGACAATATATCTAGGTAAACTGATAAGCATTCTAATCCAGAATTAAAAGTAAATTTGTATTTGAGAATGTATGAATGATTTGAATATTTTTAGATGAATCCATGATGCATCAAATAAAAACAACAAATATTTATTATGTTTCTTTTATATACACTGTACTTAGTAAGAATAGGAGAAGTTCGCTGACTTCTAGGGGCATAAAGTTGAGAAAAAATAAAAACAATGTAAAAAGGTAAATAATATTTCACTACTGTAACAGAAGTGATGTTACAAAGACGTACGTGAGTTACTGCCAAATTGATTTTTCAACAATAATTGCATCTGAGGTATAAAGGAAGAAAAATCTTTTTCAGAGGGAGTGGGCTTTTTTTTTAAATTAAGGGAAGAACGCAACATAAAATCTACCATCTTAACAAATTTTAACTGTACAATACATTATTGTTGACTATAGGTACAATGTTGTGCAGCAGATCTCTAGAGTTTATTCATCTCACTTGACTGAAACTTTTTGCCTGGCTTCCAAATGGAGGAGGTGGGCGAGGAAGGAAGCAACAGGCACTGCATAATTCCACTAGAGGGATAAAGGAGGCCATCCATAAATATAGAAACACACTGCCTCATGAAGGTAAAGTAGCAGACACAAGTTACCTTTGACTTGCTTTTTGAAACAGAACTTTTACAACCTGCAAAGCAGGGAGAAAAATATTGGACTCCATTTCCTCCACAGAGAGGATAATAATATGATCGCATGCAGTTACAATCAGCATTACAAGGAGCGGTCAAGTTTCCCAGTTCTCCTGTCCTGTGAACAAGAAACGAAAGACAGGCAAATTATCTATGTTATAACTTTTAATGAACAGTTCAGAAGCATTATTATATCTTGCCATTCAGTCATTTATTCACTCACTCAACACATATTTAATTACTGAATGAATAAAACAAATAAAATGGCTGCCTTTTCACATAGAGCTTAACTTCTTGTGGAAGGGAGAGGCAGTAGAAATGATATTATATAATATAATGTCTATCAGTAATAAGAAAAATAGGCAGAGTAAGTAAATAAAGCAGAGTTTCTCATTTGGTACCAGAAAATTCTTTTCTTGGGGAGGAGGGGTGAGGGGGAGCTGGTTCTCTGAACTGTAGGATGTTTAGCAGCATCACTGGCTTCTACCCACTAGACACCAGTAGCCTCCCCTTAGTTATCACAACCAAAATCTCTCCAGGTATTGCCAAATTTCCCTGGAGTGCAGGTAAAATTGTAAACCTGGAAGGATGAATAAAATCATGGAGTTCAACATACTGATTTCATCAATGGGAAAACTGAGGCCCATAGAGATTGAGTTACTTTTCTTTCTTTGCCAAATATAACATTCTTGTCCTAAGCTCAGTATTGTTCCATGCAGCCTCTTAATAAGGAGGCAACATCTTTGATAATATAAAGGGGTTACCCTAAGCAAAGATACTTCTCCAATGCCTTATTTATTCATTCATTCAACCAATACATATTAAGTGCTAGGCCCTATGCTAGGTATCAAGAATACAAAGCTGGGTAAGATAGTCACTGTCCTTAAAGATTTCACAGTCTAGGAGTAGAGATGGACACAGATAATTATACACTAACATGGTAAGTGTGGTTATAGATATCCGCAAAGTGTATTTTATGAGCACTGAGGAATGAGACTTAAAACAAGCCCAAGTTTAGATAAGAGGGTCTGAAGGAGCTACCGCCTGAGATGAGTCTTAAAGGATGAGTAATAGTTAGCTGGGTAAATGGGGAAGGTGAAGGGTAGTTCAAAGAAGCTGGTACAAAGGCATAAAGGTGAGAAATAGCGTCCTATATGGAGAAATATGAATGATGTCTGGGGCAGAGAGTGAGAGAAAATGTAGCTGGAGAAGAGTCAGAGACCAGATTATTGAGGGCCTAATGGGCCTTATTAAAAATAATGGGTTTTAACCTACTTTGAAAAGGTAGTCAAAGTATTTTTAGACTGGCAAGTGACACTGTCAAAAGCCCATTTTAAAGAAATAATCCTAGAGTTAAACAGAGCGTGAATTTGAAGGAAGAGGACCAGTTACAATACCCCAGAGAGTAAGTTATAACAATGTATAGGAGAACTAAAATAGAACATTTGATTAAAGGAAAGAGATTTGAGAAATATTTTGGATGCAGAATCAGTAAGATTTGGTGTTTGATTGACTGATTGAAGATGAGAACAGAATGGAAGAGTAAAGAATGACTCTTAGTGTCTAACTTGGTGTTTTGGTTTTGGGGAAGAGATGAGGTATGGTTTTATACATATTGAGATAAAGAGTCTCAAATTTGGTGAAGAAATGTGGCCTGGAGCTAGATATCTTAATATCCATTTGCATATAGATGTAGCTGAAACCAAGAGAATGATAGGATCAACCACATAAAAAGTGTAGAGTGAGAAGAGTACAGAGGTCTTGGGTGTCCACTTATTTCATGAACACAGGAAGCTCCAATTATGTGCTAGACTCAAAGTGGTGGAAATATATCTAAAAGAAATAAAGAAATAGAGATGCAGATAAAGATAGAGAAAGGAAGGAAGGGAGGAAGAGGAAGGAAGGGAGGGAGGGAGGATTAAATCCCCTGCAACCATGAAGCTAACTTCCTGGCACTGGGGATCAAAAACAGTAAATGAGTGATTTATCTAAGTATTAGTAGATAATAATTGCTGTATTGCAAAATGATGATATTTAAGGAATAGGTGGAGAACAAAAAGCTCATGAAGGAAATAGATTAAAGAGAAGGATAGAGGGGCCAGTCCGGTGGTGTAGCAGTTAAGTTCACATGCTCTGCTTCAGCGGCCCAGGGTTTGCAGGTTCGGATCCCGGGCGTGGACCGACGCACCCCTTGTCAAGCCATGCTGTGGCAGTGTCCCATATAAAGTAGAGGAAGATGGGCACAGATGTTAGCCCAGGGCCAATCTTCCTCAGCAAAAAGAGGAGGATTGGCATCAGGTGTTAGCTCAGGGCTGATCTTCCTCACAAAAAGAAAAAAGAGAAGGATAGAAAACAAACTGGAAACAAATCAGTGAGAAGTTTGAAGAAAAGAGTGATCAAAGAGTAAATTTTAAGTAATTCCTCACTCTTCACTCTATGTGGAGTCTCTTCTAATCTATTCCTCGGGCTGCTGATAGATTTCTTTAACAAGCATGATTCTATTCACAAAAGCAAGCATTACAGTCTCTGCCCACAACTAGTTTACAATATAGATACAGAAATAAGGTGGGGCCAGCCTGGTGGCATAGTGGTTAAGTTTGCACACTCTGCTTTGGCAGCCCAGGGTTCACAGGTTCGGGTCCCAGGCATGGACCTACACACTGCTCATCAAGCCATGCTGTGGCGGTGTCCCACATACAAAATAGAGGAAGATTGGCACAGATGTTAGCTCAGGGACAATCTTCCTCACCAAAAAAAAAAAAGAAAAAGAAATAAGGTGACAAGGGAAAAACTCTCTCTGCAACTCTAGAAATAGCTTCTATGCAATAATTTTTAAATTTAAATTTTCCAATGTATAATTCTAATGTTATTGATAAATGATTACTGAGAACATGAAAGTTTAAGATAGTATGATGCAAACTACATAGCATGTATTCCTTAATATCAAGGGTCAGTCACTTTAGCCTATATATTTTATAAAAATTTACTTCATGAGGTAAAGGAGAAACTATTATTAGGAAAATAGCCAATGCCTGCTAAGTTTATTAAATTGTCTTAATATATACATATTATTTTTT